AATTTGCAAACTTGTTACAATGATATTGCTAATCTTTTTTGATATCAGAGGGATTATTCATTATGAATTTGTACCAACTGGACAGTTAACCAAGTTTACTATTTGGAAGTACTGAAAAGGCTGCATGAAAAAGTTAGATGACCTGAACTTTTCGCCAATTCATGGCCTTTGCATCACGACAATGCACCAGCTCACATGGCATCGTCTGTGAGGGAGTTTTTAGCCAGAAAACAAATAACTGTACTGAACACCCTCCCTACTCACCTGATCTGGCCCCCAATGACTTCTTTCTTTACCCGAAGATAAAGGTAATATTGAAAGGAAGACATTTTGATGACATGCAGGACATCAAGGATGATATGACAACAGCTCTGATGGCCATTCCAGAGAGTTCCAAAATTGCTTTGAAAGGTGGACTAGGCACTGGCATCGGGGCATAGCTCCTCAAGTGGAGTAGTTCTAAAGTAACTAGTGACATTTAGCAATGAGGGATGTAGTACTTTTTCTAGGATGGGTTTGCAAACTTAATTGTCATACCTTGTATATGCGTCTTCTTTATCCATTCATCACTTGTTGATGGGCACCTAGGTTGCTCCCATATCATGGCTATTATAAATAATGCTGCAATGAACATAGGGGTGCATATCTTTTCAAGATAAGTGTTTTTCCCCTTTGGCTACATACCCAGAAATGGAATTGCTGGATCGTTTGGCAGCTCTATTTTTAAACAGTATCAAATCTCCATACTGTTTTTCATAGTTGCTGTACCAATTTACAATCCCACCAACAGTGTTTGAGGGGTTCCCTTTTTTCCATATCCTTACCAACACACTTATTGATGACAGCCATTCTGACAGATGGGAGGTGATATTTCATTGTAGTTTTTGATTTGCATTTCACTGATGATTAGTGATAAGCATCTTTTCATGTCTGTTGGCCATCTGTGTCCTCTTTGGAGACAAATCTGGTTCTCTGCACATTTTTTAATTGGATTTTTTTTAGTGTTAGGTTGTATGAGTTCCTTATATAGTTTGGATATTAACCCCTTATCAAATGTATCATTTGTGAGTATCTTCTCCCATTCAGTGGGTTGTCCTTTTGTTTTTGTTTCCTTTGCTGTGCAGAAAGTTTTTAACTTGATGTAGTCCTATTTATTTTTTCTTTTGTTGCTCTGGCCCAAGGAGACATGTCCAAAATTACGTTGCTGGGCCAGCCGAGTGGCGCGTTGGTTAAGAGTTGGCTTGGTAGCACCAGCTCTGAGCAGCAGGGCTGCCGGTTCGGATCCCACATGGGCCAGTGATGCTGCGCCCACTACAGCTAAGATGGTGAACAACAGCTCGACCTGGAGCTGGGATGCTGTGAGTCGCTGGCGACAGCACAGGCTGCAGCAGTGTGCTGCCATGAGCTACCGTGAGCGGCCGGCAGCCAGCATGAGCTGCCATGAGCCAGTGTGAGCGGCCGTCCAATGGCTGGCGACCAATCTGTCTCTCCTGGGAAGAGCACAATGATCACAATATCAACTTGAGCTAGTGAAGTGACGTCCTCTACATCTAGACTGAAGAACAAAAGGACAGCAATTTGTCTGTTCCCCTTCCCCGATTACCCAACGCTGTTCCATCCCCCAATTCCCCAATAAAAAAATCTTTTACAACAAAAAAAATGACGTTGCTAAGACCTATGTCAGAGTTCACTGCCTATATTTTCTCCTAGAAGTTTTATGGTTTCAGGTCTTACATTTAAGTCTTTATGTCATTTTGAGTTTATTTTTGTATATGGTGTAACAAAGTGGTCCAATTTTTTTTATATGCATCTGTCCAGTTTTTCCAGCACCACTTAGAAGAGACTAGCCAAGGATTTGATGAAGCTTCACATTCCAGAACTGAGCTATGACTTGTTCTACTAACTCATTGTCTCTGTCAGCCATTTTGGTGTGTGTATATGTATATATAAATATGTATACACACACATACATTTCAGGGAAAAAATAAATCTTACTGATGATACACTAACATTAAGATATAGAAAAATTCTAGTTAACCACAATGTATATTTTCTTTGTGTTCTTGTTTGTTGCAGTACATTATTCCTCTGAACTTCCGAGTTGATGGGTGGGGGAATAGATATAGGAGGAAGAGACTGAACAAAATGTCAGACATAAATTTCTTTTCATATAGATGACTATATGCACATATTTCTTTCCTATCATTTAAAAAGGTCGAGAAACATTTTTAAAGTCATTTGTAGTATTCTTCACTGCCTGACAGCTAAATTTCATACGGTAATTGGGACTAGATCTAACCATAGTTTTCATATCCATATTTCATTTTTTCTTCCCTTAATGAACAAGACCTCGAAATTTCAGTATGTTACATACGGTTCGAGGTCAGAAATTTGGTCCCTAAATCCTACTAGTCCCTGCTTTGCAACCTGCCAAGGAGGCTGTAACCATAAGGAAGAGTAGCCAATGGGAAAGTACCACTCACATGATAACTAGAACACCCTGACTGCAGGACTTCTCAGGTAAGCCATGATGAAACCACCCATCTTCCCCATCCATCATCCCCTACCTTTAATAGAAAAAGCCTAGTTCAGGAAAGCCCCAAGTCCAACTTCCCACCTTGTTTGGAAGAGAGGATGACAGGTCTGACCCCTAATAGGGAGAGTGACTGCACATGGTTTCTCACCTATTAATACAGCAACCTTGTTCATTTGTAAAAACTCAGCCCCATGAGTATCTTGAGCTCACTTCATTCTGGTAACTCCTCTTACCTTATGAGGGGTGACTAGGAAGGAGGCAGGTGAGGAGGAGTAGAACTTCATAAATATTATATATTGAGACCATTTAATGGTGCTAGAGCCTTCAGTGTCACACAGTGTGTGGGTCATGTTTTGGTTGTATAGCAATTTTTATGCTATACTGTTAAACTGAAGAAAAATTTCAATTGATATCATACTTTTAAAAGAGAATATTCTAAGGTGCCAGGTTTGTTATGAAGTGTCTTAGACCTTCCAGATCTGTTTAGCTGCCAGCTGAATACTACCAAGTGACATCATTCGATATCATGTAGAGCACAATTCACCCAGCCAAGCCTTGACCCACTGAATCATAAGTTATAATAAAACGGTGGTTGTTTTGAGTCACTGAGTTTTGGGGTAATTTGTTATGCAGTGGTAACCAGAACGAATATACATTATGTACCACCCATCACCTGAGCCTAATATAGTTTTTGCCTTTGTATAGTTGGTGTTCAGTATTTACTGATAACCTGTCACCTTGCAGCTGCCAATTTGAATGCTCCTGTGCACTGATCCTTTGAAGTCTTAAGGAAGTGTCTTGGAATGCTAAGGCCCAAGGGAATGATCTCGGTAAAACTTCCTTATCAGGTGGTCTGGGAATGCTGATACCATCTCAGGGATCATATGCATGTGTGAAAGCACAACTGATGCTTAATCACAATGAGTTTAGGTGAAGCAGCTGCCAGTCTTAACTGAATCAATTAACTGGGTATAGATATTCAAATTGACCTCTTTGTGACAGTTGTAGGCTTTAGGCTTGCCAGTATCAGGGCTCACTCTCTTGGTCTGCAGAGACGCCCCCCCCCCCCAGAAACTCTACTTTTGACTCTTGTGATTTCTTAACCCTTCGCCGCCCCTCCTCGAAACCCCAGCCCTTGTCACGCGGTACATGATATCTGGCACCCCAACGTGGGGCCTCGAAGACGTGTTATCTGGTCTCCTGAAGATGTGATAATAACCCTTTTCATTTCAGAACCTCCCCCTACTGTTACCTAATTTTACATTTCATAATTTTGAGATATTTCTTTTATAAAGCACTCATCTGCTTATGACACTTAATTACAGGTCATGCTATTGACCCTGCTTTTTGGAAGCTATTAGTAATAGGAAGTGTTACTTCTTCACTTTTAAAGATGGAAACATTTGTTCACTTTTAAATTATGTAACAATGAGAAAATTTTACATTTTAATTAGTCAGATGCTTGGGGAACTGGTTAACTAGAAAGTATTTTTTGTTTAAATCCTTACTGAAAACTTTCAATAAAAGTAGGTAGTAACTTTGAACAATAGTTGTCATTGCTTGAGAGTCTGAACTGGATGAGTATCTGCACATATCCCAGAAATAGTATTAAAATTTTTCTCATATCATGTTTCCTTCTAACTTGCTATTTCTGAGTGGGATCCCATGAATTTATCCCAGTTACTCAAGGTGCTATTGAACTTTTCTATAGTCTTCTCTGCCCCTCATCCGTTTTCCTTTTTTAAAAAACCCTGCCATTTATTCTCTGGACAGCCAAGTATGGCCTCTCATCCGACATACTTAATTATGGGAACTCATGAATGTTTTCTCAAGTCTTACTAATAGGAATAATGGTGTTTATCTAAAGTAGATGTTTTTATCTTATGACAGAACACTGAACACAGAACTGATCTTTGTGTTAGATGCTAGAAAGCTCAAAGTCCCCTCTTATCAACTGTTACAGTTAGTTTCAGAATCGTTTAACTTTATCCTAACTTCATTTAATTTCTTCCATGCTCACTTTCCTCCCCATAATTTCCTCACTTAAAAAACTAGTTGTGTTGTATGCATTTTTTATAAGCTGTCTTACAAACATTTTGGAACAAGATGGCAATTTTAGAAATTGTTCAAGATTGTAAGGTATTTTGAAGGCCCATTTTCATCAGCTTTAACCCAGACTTTCTAGGTCATCTTCATTATCTTTTAAGTTCCTTTTACAGCTTAATTTAGCGCTCTGATTATATATACTAACGTACACTTGCTCTAAGAACACTTGTACCATTCCTTTGGTTTCAACTATGACTTTTGTACTGGCCACAAGCAGACTCTGTATTCCTGTACAGATCTCTGTATCTCTGTATTTTCTGGACCTGAATTTACAGTTGACGGAATGGGCATTTCCTGTCTACCTACCTACCTACCTACCTACCTACACACACACACACACACACACACACACACACACCTTAATTAAAATAATTACAATATTGTCATAGTTATCTTTGATCATATTATGTTAAAGTTTTTTGAATATTAGCAAACCTTACACTTTCTAAATGTTTAATTCAATTTTATTTAAATACTAAGCATTGAAAACTTTACAAAAATGTTAATTATCTTAAATTGGTTAAGGTTCTTTCCCTTTTCTTTCCTTAAAGGGTCTAAGCATGGGTGGGTCTTTTGTAGACACACCTATTTTTATTGTAAGGGGCAAGTGATTGATTCTCTTTCAAATCAACTTTTTCTAAACTGAAGTCCCTATATATAAATGGGACCAGTAATGTTAATTTATGTGATGGTGTTTTCAAAAATATCTTTAGTAAATAAATAAAGGGGGGATGTAAAATACTGTGACTTGCTTGGTGAATTTTAATTGCGAAATTTCTTCTTCTTTCGAAACTTCTTTCCTGCTGCATTTGCTGCTTTTTCAGCCATGATCTCTGAGTACTTCTTTCGGTTATATCTAAGAAGAAAAACCAAACCTTTAAGTTCTAAAGTATGACACACCACATATTAGAAGTTAATGTAGTCTTTTGGGGAGGGGAGGCCACTTCTAAATCTCAATTTTATTTATTTTTTGCATTTTTACCATTTATTCATCACACTTGTACTAAGTTCTACCATGTGTAAGGAGTTGGGGACAAAGAGGTGAACTAAGCAGGAACCAAAGTCAGAAAAAATGCCAACTGTAAAGGGAAGCTTTGAGAAAACTGTCAGTAGAGACCCATGCACTCATTATATCCAACTACCAGAGAATATCAAATGCTTTAAATATTTTTGTGGGATAGAAATGTAAAAATATGGACTAAGGAAAACAAAAGGTTTACACTTACCTGAAAACACACAATATATTTCTTAGAACCTTAAGAAATACACCACAGAACAATGGTTTTCAAAATGTAGTCTGGAAATGAGACCCTTTCAAGAACTCCATTAGTTAAAAACTATTTCAGAAGAATACCAAGACATTGTTGTCTTTTTCATGCTCATTCTCTCATGAGTGTACAGTGAAATTTTCCAGAGGCTACACAATGTGTGGTATCATAGCAGACTGATGCAGAAGCAGATATGAGGCTTCAACTGTCTTTAAGCCAGACATTAGAGAGATATGCACTAAATTATTTTTTTGTTCATGAAACTATGTTAATGTGTAATGGATTTGTTATTTTAAAATGAATTAATAAATATTTTTAAAGTTTCTTAATTTTAATTTCTATTATGGTAAATATTGATAAATGTAATCCACAAAAGTTCTTTGGGTCTTTAATAATTTTTAGGAGTTCAAAGGCATCCTCAGACCAAAGAATCGGTGCTATAGACTGTATTTTCCCATTGGGCTTTGGAAATACAGAAGCACAATTTATTGCAGAAAAATAAAGATGTAGTGCCTAGAAGCTTCAACAAAAGAAGGCCTGTCAGTACACAATGATGAAAAGTTTAAAAATTCTCTAAACTTGGGCGTGACCGGTTAGCTCGGTTGGTTAGTGTGTGGTGCGAAGAACACCAAGGTTGCTGGTTTGATCCCTGCATGGGTCACTGTGAGCTTTGCCCTCCTTAAAAGAGTCAACTATACTATTGTAGCATGAAAGCAATGTGTAACCAATGACCATGGCTGTTCCCCAATAAAACTTGAAGAAAAAAAAAATTCTCTAAACATATTAAATTCCTTTGTTGTAAGGCAGATACACTATGTTACATAAATCTGTTTTCACATTACTAAAGCTGAGGATAAGCTAAAAATCTCTTTAAAACAGAAGCTACTTAAGCCCTTCATAACTTTACAGCTCACTGAATCCCAAAAGCACAACTGACACAGACTTTCTAACAAACCTCAGGTTAGATTAAAAATGAAACAAAACCAAAAACCACATACAACACAGAAAAGCACATTTTCTTCTGTCCCAGGACTTTCCTATTTGTAAACATCTGATGCATTAAATACATTTGGTGAAGTTCCCTATCCCAAAGTGATGGGAGGACAGAAAACCTCGAGATGGTTGTAGAGGATTAAAACTTCCTGTGGAGAGATGGGCTAGTAGTGTTTCACATATTGTGGCATGTAAATTTAGGTGACAGACAATATTCATTTTAAGTAATGTATTTATCTTAGTGTATATAGAAAAATATAATTAAATCCATTTACAGCAGCAATATAAAGTTTCTTTTTAAAATAAATCAGGCAGCATACAGATAATGAAAACAGTGAAGATGGTATTCAATGACTCAATGTGGGAAACAATGAACTGCTAAGATAACCTCTAACCTGCAATTTTATGTGTTTCATTCTAAATTTCTAGTTTACTGCCCAACTTCCTTATTCTAAGATTACCTTTTTTAGTGTTTCAACACTTACCACCTAAATGTTAACCATATGATTACGACTGACCTACATTTTGTAATATTGATGATGGCAATCTCAGAAATCACAGCAATGTTGATAGTGCTTATTTCTAAAATTTTTACCATTACCCAGATTCATTAAATAGCTTTAAACAACATTTTGAGTTGTTTGTTTTCCATGCCTACAATCCACATTATTTTTAAAACCTTTGATAAATATTTTCACTTCTGCTATTAAACTAAGCTGGAACTTGAGTAGAGGTTTCTATACAAGACATGCTTTTAAATCTCCTATAATATATATACAGCTGCTTCAAGGACATTTAAACATACTCAGATTGCTCCCATCTTAATTAATCCTCCAGCTAGCCCTGCCTTTCCCTTCCTCTTCACAACTGAACTTCTTCGAAGAGTTATGTCCATTTCTTCATTTTCAACTCAATCTCCAGTTCGACTTTCTCCCTATCACTCCCCTAAAACTCCTGCCAAAGTTACTGTGACCTCCATGTAACTAAATCCAAAGGAAGCTTTTAGTTTTTATTTCATTTGACGTCTCATCAGCATTTATTCCTGTTAACCACTCCTCTAGCTTACACATGCTTAAAACATTCTCTTTCCTTGACATCTATGACACTGCGCCCTCCTGCTTTTCTTAATGCCCTCTTGGCTAGCTATTCTTTCCCAGTCTCCTTTGCAGGCTCCTTCTCCTCTAGTCAAATATTTTCAAGCTTCCCTCTAAAGCACTGGTTCTAAACTTGGAATGCTTATGCTCTGCAGGGAACATCTGTAAATGTGTGGAGACATTTCCGATTGTCATGAATGGGGGGCGGGGAGGGTGAGGACAGGGTTCTACTGGCATATAGTGGGCAGAGGCCAAGGATGCTGTTAAACATCCTACAATGCACATGAAAGTACCCCCTCCGCCCCCCGCAAAAGAATGGTCTCATCCAAAATGTAAATAGTGCTGCTATTGAGAAATTCTGTGCTACAAAGCATTTAAAAATTATCTGAAATTTAAAAAGTTTATGCATATTCTAAAGGAAAGCAAACATATTATAAAGTGAAACATAAATCCCTTTACCTTCTGAACTCAGAATCAGCCAGTAGTTCTTCCACAATAGTTTTCTTCCTTTGTTTCTTGGGAATTCGTGAATGGTAGAAGTCAGCTGGATTGTCAACAATGGTTCCAATCTGTGAACAATTGATTGAAATAAGTCATGTAATACCTGAATGCCACATTATTTTCATATTTCAGGGTAGCTCTAACAAAGTATATTTATAGAAAGGAATGAAAAACACAAACTTACATTACACTAATATAAAAAGCAAAAATAAATCACCTATTCAATTTGCATTAGGTCACACTAATGACATTTCCTCATTAGTTTATAATAAATTTATATAAGTTACTGCTAGACAGTACATAAATTCTTGATGAACAATGTAACGAGAGGGGAAAAGTGGGACAGATAATGTAAATTTGTTTTAGCTTTCCAATTTAATGAAATTGACACAAATTCTATATACCTATTTGATCTCCTAGGTTATCATAAATGCTGCCAGCTTTGAACCTTCTAACTGACCACTCTGCATTAGTTCCTACATTCAACTGAGTAAAATTTACCAAGTGTCTACTATGTGTCAGGCACTGTCCTAGTTTTAGGGAAACAAAGATAAAGACTATCTGGTCCCTGGCAGTGAGGAGCCCACAGTCTTAAAGATCCACAGACAGTTAACTAAAAAAAGGGTAACATAGTATATGCTGAACAAAACATTAGAGGCTCTGAAAACTACGTGACCAATTCTATTTAACTAAGGGAGGTAAAGAAGGTTTCATAAAGGATGACATTTTAGCTTGGATTTATATGAGTAAAATTTCACCAAGCAAATGGCAGAGCCAACCACATGCAAAGTCAAATGCCAAGACCAGTCTGTGCATGTTCTGAGGAGACTGAGAAGTTGAGTGTGTTCGCACTTCAGAGGGCTGTGACAAAGGAAGGGCTGGTGAACTGGTTTGGGTGCAGATTGTGAAGGGCCTCAGTAAGGGGTACAGACTACCCTCCAGGTCACAAAGAATCACTGAAGTTATCACTGAATGATACCCGTGATATCACTGATCAGAGGCATATCATAAACAGATTGCCTTTTTTGTTGTTTTTTTTAAAGAATAAATGACTGGCTACAATGTGAAGGATGGACTAGAGGGAATGCAGACCTAGGGGCAAAGGACTATTGTAATAATCCAGATGAGTGACATGAAAGGTACTCAAGAAGAGCAAAATGAACTTGAGAGCTACCAGGGGATGACTCCTTTGAAAACACTTTGAAAACCAACTTTTAAGTTATTTTGAGAATTTGCCTGATGATACCCCTCTACCCTTGAAAAGAAGAGTTTGGTGCAAATAATTCCCTTTCCCCATCCATCCCATGAGAATTCCTGCTCTTAGGCCAGTACTATCCATATATGGAACACCCATCTTACAGGTTCCATAACTTTCAGAGAGATGTCCTAAGAACCTAGTTACTATTTGCGACTCTCTCTACATGAAAAGCCATCACAAGCTAGTAGCTGTCTGAATTGAGTTCTGCCATTATTATATGACCTGAGCAGATGTGCATCGTAAACATTCATCTATTTTAGAGGAAACAGAAAAAAGATCACACTATAGTGCTTTCCAAACTAAAATCCACACAACCTCACCACTGTATTCTGTTTACTTCATACCTGGAAGTACTTAGGGAAGCCATCCCTATCATTTTTCTTGTAAAACCTTTTTGGGTCCATGCCAGCTCTCATCTTCAGTACTTTGAGGTCATTTTTTAGTTCATCTGTCAACTCTGGAGCTTTCATACCAAACCAGCCATCACCTGCTGTTTTTTGTCGCTCTTTCTGAAATTCAGATTTCAAAAACAAACAGAAAATTCTTATAAACAGTGTATAAACTATACCTCATTTCCCCCATAACTGTACATAACAGAAAATTTCATTAATTAAAAACAAATAAGGTTACTTTACAGAATGTATTAGTCTCCAAATTCATCTTTCATAAAAGGAATTAAATCACAAAAAGTGATTTCTCTGATAAATTAGGTAAAAGCATTATCAATTCATACATGAGGGTTCCTAAAATTTTATTTTGTATTTTAGAAACAACTGCTGAGTTGGTAGGAGAGTAACCCACAACTTTAATTTTTATTCTCTAAAACAGCCTACACAAGAGATAATGTATAAAAACATTTTCACTTCTGGAGCTTATATGTAAACACTAACGCTTTCATTCAGTTGCCCAGGTATCTCAAAGTCACTGACTCTAACAGTCGGAATCTGTGTTATTTCCTTGAAAAAAAGAAAAAGAAGAAGAAAAAAAAGTCTGTTCCTTTGAAAACTCCTAGTGAGTGATTTGCCTAATTTTACTTTTTTGTTCCATTCATACAATAATTATGAAGGGTTTACCATGTGCCAAGGGGCTTCCTATTAATGACAATATTACCGGAGCACCTTTCTCAAATTTCCTCCAAGCTCTTGATAACTTCCTTATGCTTATTAGTTGAAATGCCAGATGGAAGCCATCCCTATATCACACTAGAGAAAATAGTTCCTGTTCTCTCATTTGGCAGACTAAAGACCAGGGTTTTTGGCTGGTTTACATTCAATTCCCTACAATAGCCTGCAACAGAGTTCCTAGCTTTTAGTGAACAGTACCTGTAAGCCAAGAGGTGTGGACGCTGACCTTGCATGGTGGCTGTCACTGTTTTTAAGGAAGGGGAAAAAAAGCTGTATCTGTGTACCACCTGGTGCACTTTCACTTTGTGAAATTCACACAAAATGTGTTTATGGAACCATATTTTATGGGCATTTAGTTATCTGTGAAAATTTTCTTTGGAAATACACTTTTTAAATGTACAACCATGTTGTATAAGCTGAACACATATAGTTGAACACATCTAAACATTCTAAATAATAAGAGTCACTGTACTTACTCTGCGTTTTTTTTGAAGTTGATATTTTGATTCTCTATATGGTGGGACACAGTAGTTTTTTTCAAAATCAGGAGTAATGACGGATTTCTGCAGCATCTATAAAATTATTAAATTGGTTTTAAAATATCAGAATGTCATATAACTTCAACATTTTTTGCCTTATAAGAATAACATCTCTCAGAGTGAAGACTACTCCAAATATATTAACCTTTATGTACAGACATGCTACTGTCAAGTTGTTCCCGTCCTAATATCACAATAAAAATGTTTTAGGAGGCAAACTGAAGGGTTATTTTAGGTAATCTATAAAATTGATTATTCAGTTCAAATTTCTTTTACTAATCTGAATCTGCACACATCAGATTTACATTAACATGTCCACTTGTACTTACTGGTTTGCAACCACGCACCTGCACCAAATTGGAAAATAAAGACAATAGGAACAACGCCATAATGGCTCTTGAAACCCCTGAAAAAAACCTGACTAGTTTTTAAGTTCTTTTGATGTTGGTAAAACAGCTTCTTGTGATCTGAGGATACTGGCTAGACTATTAGTAAGTATAGCGATAACAGATTTCTATTAAACAACATATACTTTTTATATTATACCAACAAGATGTAGACATATCTGCTTTTTGCAACTCAACGTATCTCAGATGATTTTTCAATGTCAATTCATACATAGATCAACAACTTTCTTATAAATAGTTGCTAAACATTTTCTTCTGACATTTAGTTTAAGTCTTCATTAAACTCTTTTCCATTAAACGCTGTAATAACCTCTGCACATTTGTGATTGTATCTATAAAACAGATACCAAAATGTGTCATTTTGTACTGCTAAATTGCCTCACATTCAAACAGTATAAACTCCTACCAGCCTTTTTCTTTACATTGCCACCGTTATCTTTTTGTATATAGTCAGTGGTGCCTCTTAGCTATTTTCATTTGCTGTTGATGATCTTTTTGTGTAGTTAGTAGCTATATAAGTTCTCTTTTGTGGGAATGCCTGCACTCTTTCGGGTTCTTTTCATTTTTAAATAGGGTTGTGTTCTTACTAATTTGTAGAAATGTATTTTGTATTTTAGTGGTATTAATCTATGGTCTTGTTTATAATTGCATAGGTTTTAAAATTTTGTGTAGTCAGGTCTGTTAATCTTTTCCTAAATGACTTCTGCAGTTTGTTACTTGCTTAGGATGACTAAATATTGTCATACTGTTTTGTGACTAAAAGGAGTCTCAGGGTAATTAGTCATTTCGCCAGTGCAAAGAACTAAAAAGACTACTCCTTAACCCTCAAAATAGCTCACAGGAATACAGCAAATATTAATTTATTCAATAAAATTTGACATTATCAATTCAGAAATCAATTATCAATGAGAATATCCCCAATTCAGGTTTAGGCCTAGAAGTTTCTGGGGAGTACAGTAGTTTAGACTTTCCTAGCATTCACAGAAGAGAGTGTATATGACATTTATTTAACAGATTCTTATGAGTTTCTTTTTTCTTTCTTTTTTTTTTATTGTTAGTTTCAGGTGTACAGAACTATGCAATAGTTATCCTTTTCACCCTTCGCACAGAAACAACCCCTCTCCCACTATTACAAGTTTCTTGTGTGGCAAGTTCCATACTTGGCTTTAGGACAGTGGTTCTCAATTGGGAGCAATTGGCAATGTCTGAAGACATTTTTGGTATGTGTGTGAGTGGTGTGGATGCTACTCACATCTAGTGGGTAGAGACCAGGGCTGCTGCTAAACATCCTACAATGCACATTCTCCCACAACAAAGAATTACCCAGCCTAATACATTAGTATTGCTAAGGTTGGGAAATCCTGTTTTAGGAATACAAAAAGACACTGAAATAACAATTATACCACATGGTTAATAACGAATCTGATTGATATTGGGTGTTGTAGAAGCACAGAGGAGGTTGGAGGAACGACTAGTGTCAAATAAAGTCTCCTGAAGGCAGTGATCTATGATCTCTGCATTGGCCTGGGAAAAGGGTAGGTATATGTTCAGGGAATAATAATAGTCTTCTGTGGCCAGAACACAGCAGGTGGACAGCCAGAGCTGGGGGAACACAGGCACCTTGAAGACTCTGAAGAACCACTGAAGGACTTAACCAGGAGAATACCATGGCCAAATTTGTGTCTTTAGAAAGAGAACTCTAGCAAGAGTATGGAGAATAGCTTGAACAACAAAGAGTAAGGAGGCTACTGAGACGAAAAATAAAGGCCTGAATGAGCCAGTGATAGTGGGGTGAAAAGGAGGGAACAGAGCAGAAACAATGTAAGCATCTAGCCTAGGCTTAGTGATTGACTGCAAAAGGGAAAGACATTTGGCGTCATTAACTGGGATAGAGAGAATACAAGAGGAGGTGGTGGTTCAGGCAGGGAACAGAAGTAAGACAATTAGTGAGCTCAAGTGCCTGAGCACATATGAACAGATAATAGGTACCTGAATTTAAAGACCTGAAGAGGCACCAAGGCTAAAAAACAGATGTGGGAAAAAGCCATGCAAGGTGGCAGCTAAAGCTCAGGGTTTGGATGAGGTCACCAATCCTATAATTTCTTTCTGAAATTAAATGTACAATTTTATGTCTGTGAAAAATGTGCACTTTATCCTGGAAGAGGGAGGCACTCATAGCTTTCAGATTTTCAACAGGGTCAACAGGGTCCAGAACAGTTAAGAACTAAAAGTATAGCAAGAAAAGAAAAACAACCCCTGGGATCATAAGCAGTGGGTAACACTGATCCTGTATTACTTTATTTTTCAAGTGTCATCTTTTATAGCTAGGACTTTATAAAAAAAAAAGAATTGACTGTTCTGGAAAGAGGGAAAAAAGGAGCACAGTATGCTCATGTAATTTCACTGTAGGAAAATCAGTCTCTTACCAAGCAGTAACCATTTCTGTAAGTAATTGGCTAGTAGTATGAAAACCTACATGACACTTCAAGTAACTTACCTCATTTTTCTTTTTCTCCTTGATCTGTGTTAGGGTTTTGTTTGACTGTAGTTTGTCTGCATTAAAATTAATATACAAACCACCCAATTGCTTGATACTCAGACCAGGGTCTATGCTGCTGCTTGTCAACTTTAGACTGCAAGAGAAATGGTCACTTAAAGATCAAGCAATGAAATCGAAATGGAAACAACTGAGACTGTATTTTTAAAAGAACTTTTTTTCGTCTCTCCCCCCTTTTACCGTCAATGACAAAAAAAACTTTTATAATGGAGTTTTGAAAAACCAAACAAGTACATGTTTTAAATCTAATAAAGACATTTAAAAAAATTCTGAGATGAATAATGATTTAAACAAAAAATCTTTTTGGGAGCACATCCAAATTTATTCTCCAGATTTTCCTTAAGAGGATTAAGGCCATGTAATGTCAATTTCATAAAAAGGTTTTTATAAAGAAAAGAATTACAGAAATGAGGAGATACACCTGGCAATTCGGCTCAACTTCATATACAGGTAGTGAGTTAATATACGTATACACTCCCATCTCTAAAACCAATGAGAAAGACGGGTTCTACTATGAACTTCCAAGTTATCCAAACTTAGAATATTTTTCTGGGTAATTAAAGGCATTTGGTAGTGCCTCTAAATCAAGGGAATTTTAAACAGCGATGGGCATCCATATTTCCCACTGGAGCTTTTTAAAAATATAAATGTCACATCCAAGATCTACCAAATTACAATCTTCTGCAGTTGGCCTGGGCTCCAGCTATATTTATGTAATTAGACTTTCTACTTTATATTACTGAAGGGTCCTTTTTATAAGTACACTTGGACTTATAGTCACTTTCTTCCCTAATTACTCCTATAAACTGAGCAGTTGACAGTTTTGATAAGCAACCTCTACTGGAAAGTGAGATCATTTTATTGCAGTGCCTTAGCAGTGATCCTCAACTCTAAATGTACATTAGAAATATCCAGGTAGGAATGTGGCTTTTAAAAAATAATTATGCCTTCACAGAGATTGACTTCACTGGTTTAAGAGTGCAGACTGGGCATCTGTTAATGCATAGTTCCTTACAAGGATGCCTGTATTTCCAGTGGATTACACTGTAAGCAACAGCCTGTGCCTGGGAAAAACAAATTTATAACAGAGAAAAAGAAACTAAATAGCCCCAAACATTCATGCTTTTCAATGGGTGATAGATGAGATTATAGGTGATTATTTTTCTCAGGCTTTTCAATTTTTCTACAATCAACATATAATAAAAAAAACCAAATTATTTTACTTCCCTTTTATAATGCTCTTAACAGTCATGCAGAAAAATCCTAATGGACGGTTTCTAATATATCACCAAAAAGAACACTTTTAGCTATCACTGGTGGGAAAACTACAACTTAAAAGGCATCCAGAGAGATGAGGGAAATGCTGGATAAAAGAGCTCTTCTGTAAAGAACCTCAGGCAATAATTTTCTCAATTCCCATGTTTTCTATTATTTTATATTTTTATGGTAACTTAGACATTTGAAACTTTTTAAAATAAAGGTAAAACTTACAGTTTAGACTTTGTGCCATTTAGTAAGTCATCTTCATCACTAAATTCTTCATCATCTTTATTTTTCTCATGGTCTGATGGTTCTTCTTCACTTGTTTCATCCTCTTCCTCCTCCTCGTCTTCTTCCTCTGTGGCAACTTCACTTGACTTGTCTTCCTCATCCAAGTAAAAATTTTTATCAGCACTCAATCCAGGAGTTGTGTCAATTACAAACAATGCATTGTCACATAACGTATTTTCTGAGTCTCCATTTAATGACTCCTTTTGATTGCTATCTTCAGCAAAACACACAGTGTCCTCTTCATTCTCACTGTTTTCAGACTGCTGGCTTTCATCACTGCTGAGAAGTAATAAAACGGAATCACCTTTATCTTGAGCTGTGTTAAGCTGAGACTTGTCTAGTTTGGTATCACACTCAAAATCTACATCCCTTTCTTTGTTCATGTCGTCACCGACAGCTAGAGCTGTGCACTCTTCATCACCACCCCCATCACTAATTGTCAGGTCACTTGTTTTTATGGTGCTCTTTCTCTCTTCAGTCCACCTGTCTAGTTCCACAACTGCAAATGTTTGATCTAATGATTTTATTACAGCCTCACAGTTCAGATTTGAGGGCTTTGATGTAATTTTGTTATTCTGGGGTGTTGAATGCCTTTGAGAAACTAACTGCTGAAGGTCAGTGTCCTGAAGTTCAGAAAGACTCAACTCAGAATTTTTCTCATTAATTTCTTTCCCCTCCTCTATCATCCCTTCAGCTTCCTCATCTGAACTCTTACAATTCTGCTTTATTTCTTCGAGAGGTACAACACTGGCCTGTTTTTCTTCTTGTATATTAAAACATTGGCCATTTTGCATTGTTATTTTTTTTTCTGAATTTCCAGGGAAGGAATCGTTATCCAAGTCATTATCCATGTCACTATTAGAGAAATCTGGCTTGTTTATCTGAGAAAGAGATCTTGCTTGTAAATGAGATGAAGTTTGTCTGGTAGCTGAATCCTCTGAATCTGTAGGTGTACTTATCACTTGCTTTTCATTTTCTGGTATAATCTTAGTATCTGTCTCCTCCATTTGTGCTTGTAATTTCCTCTGCATACTCCTTGTTGTTCTCCTAACTGCAATTCTGGAAAATGCAGAAATATCTGAGCATGATGACTCAGCATCAGAAATAGCTTCTGCATGTGATTCTTGGCTTGGATCTGTTTGGGATTTAGCTTTACTTCTTCTGGTTCTTGTAGTTATTACTGTAGGAGACATAATTCTAGAAATACCTGAAACATGCGATTCTGCTTCAGACAATTCTTCAGTATGAGACTCATTTATTGGAGTTCTTTTCAGCCTTTTCCTGACACTGGGCACTGGGGTGCATGCAACTACAATTTGCCTTCTCCTAGTTACTCTTACAATGGTATCCTGCAGCTCAGACACAGAAGAATAACTTGACTCTGCTTCAGAGGTCTCTCCATCAGTAGGTGTTGTGTTCATTTCTGGTAACGAGCCTGTAGTTCTGCTCTTCCTCTTTCCAGTTTTAGGAGTTTGTTTCCTAGTGCTCTGTGATCCAGGAGTACTTGAGCCATCAGAAGGAGATTCCTTCCTGCCTTTTAGACGTGCTTGAATTCTTTTAGCAGCAGAATTCTGTAAGCCAGAGAAAACACACTATTATTACCTTATTTTGCCATGTATAATGCACATTTTTTGGGCCCAAATTTGTAAAGGAAAAATATGGATGCACATTTCACATGGGTAGTACTAATTCCATATCTATATAAATGTTTTTAATTCTTTTATTTATGCTTATGAGTTAAAAGTGTAATTCTAGAAATCAATAACGATATCCGTATGCAAAATAATACCCTGGAATACAATAATGGGTTTTGTTGAACTTACAATGAAATTGCAACGAAGAGTTCTTGGCCTTCTATATATAATGTGTAAATATTGTAAATTTGTTACCGGTACGTAAAGTTTCTTGTACCTTGTATCTGTTCTTGTGTTTTGTAATTACTTGTTACATAAAATTTCTTGTACCATAATATGTTAAAAATAAATGCTAAAATTCCTTTATAATACAAAAACAAGGACCTAAATGTAAACAAAAAATTCAATTAAAAAATTGAGTTTTTTCCCCTGAAAGTTTGGGGCAAGAACGTGGGTGTGCATTATAATAGGAGCACATTACACACGGCAAAATACGATAATTTAGGTAGGGGCGGGACATGGGCAAAGTGAGTGAGGCACTCCCCTCAGAACAAATCTTAAGAGGGCACTGAAAAACTCAGTGAACAAGATGAACACAAAACCACCACCCATGATTTAAAAAATCAAAAGCTTAAATACTAGATATGCCCCTGCATTTGCAGGCCCCCTGCTTCACTCGCCTCACCCAAGTCTTGGTTATAACTTTAGCGAGAAAAAAAAAACTAAGAGAAAATTTTCTCTACTCAAGTCAAATATGCTAGGTGGACCTATTGTACATTCCGACACACACGGGGAAAAGGGAAGAATATTAACTCTGGGCAAAGACGTGTTTAGGAACACACACCGATAGCATCGGTCGATGCCCTTACCTTTACGTACAGAAGTGAGTTAAGGCTCCATTCCCTTCATCGCAGAATCAGAGGCCGACTACTAGCGCCACCGAAAGCTACCAGGCGGCACCACCGCAGACATCCCCACGCGAAAAGGAGGCGCTGTGGGGCCACAGCCAGCATCCCCACGTGAAAACAGTGCCCTTCTCTCCAACCCAGGTAAATCGGACTCTTGCTTGGTGGCCGAAATTAATCCTTAGTACAGTGTTAACAGGAAAATTAAAAGGCTCGAGCTGGGCATCTGCATTACGGAGCTGAACTACCCAAAACAAGTCATCGAACCTCTCTGTTTCGTATGAAGGAATGCAGTATTAAAAGACTGTAGGGAGGGCCGAAGACGACGCGACAGGCTTACGTGGGGCCTGGTACGCAGCAGCACGCGGCAAGCTCGAGCCCTTGCCGTCGCTCCTCCCCACGCTCCGCGGGACCCTTGCGCCGCCCCACCTGCCTGAGCGCCGTTCTGCGAGGCCGCGAGAAGAAATGAGGGAGGTTTGCTATTTCCTACCTCCTGCCCGGAGCTTTCAGCAGACGGAGCTTGGATACCGGCCTGAGGCCGCGCCGACCTGGTCACCACCATCTTACCGGCTCGCGGCCACCACGGCGGGCGACTGTCCCGGCGCCCCGGAAGTGCGTCAGACAACAGCCTCGCTCGCGTTTTCCGCGAGGATTCCGGACTCGCGAGAATCTCTTACCAGCCTCCGCCCCGCCTCCTTAGGCCTTCCGGGACCTGGGGATCACCGAAATTCCGGGTTTTAGCGTTCCGTCCAGTGCGGTAGGGTGCAGGTCATCGTTTTGCAGGAGAGACGTTAGTGGGGCGACGAAACTCACAATGACAGAGGGCCCTCGTCCTCGGTTCACACGAACGAGTTGGAAAAATCCCATCTCTGCCGCATCCATCCCTCCTCAAATTATTGGGCAATTCTGAAGATCTTAATATAGCAAGGGATGTGACAGGAGACATTTGCATTATTTATAATACTTTTTTTTTTACATTTATGTACTATTGCATTATTTGTGAAGTTAAATGTAAATAAAATAAAATTTAAAGACTTGGTTGGGATAAAGATGTTTATGTTAAAAACCCAGGAACTCGAAGACTAGTTAGGAAACCATATAATCCAAAGGTAAGGTGGTGACTAGGTATCGGGAGTAAGCAGAAAAGAAGAAATGTTAAAGAAATTGTAAAGGAGAGCGGTGACTTTTTTGTTTTGTTTTTTGCAGTGAAAGGAAGAGAATCACCAGAATTAAGAGAGGCTTTTGGTTTTCTCTTAGGGTGAAGGGTGGAGAGCTAGCATGTTTGAGGGGAATGGAAGGGGATTGAAGTGGACAGATACTGCAGGTGAGAAAGGATAAATTCCTTACTAAATGTATTTTCTACTATATAACAGAAAACCGATTTTTTTCCCCCCTTAATGTCACAAAGCACAGATTTTTCAGTGGGCACATTGCCACCCAGCTAAACAGCTCCTTTCATTGTTACCCTTGTAGTCAAATATGGCTAAATTGTGGCCAATTACAATACATATGAATTGAATGCTGTGTAGTTTTTTTAAGGACATCTTAGGAGAGGATATTCTTCCTGCCTTCTTTAACGTCATTTTACTTTCTGGAAGGTTGTGCTGTCTGGTTTTCAAGCAGCAATTTTGTGCCATGAGGATGAGGGCCACACTTTAGGGATGGCAGAGGAGAGAAAGAAAAAAACACGGGTCCCAGACAAGTTGGTGGAGTTGTCCGTCCTTATTAGTCCTAAACAGCCTACTTCTAGATCTGTTTCACCTGAGATAAAAACCTGTCTTTTTAAGCCACTGTTATTTAGGGATTTTCTGTTATTTGCAGCCAAACTTGATCCCAACTGAAGAATGGGAAAAAAAAAAATAGAGATGGAGGGTTTAGCTGTAGAAGAATGCTCCTGGGCCAGCCAACTGGCTCAGTTGGTTAAGAGCGTGAGCTCTGAGCAACAGGGTCACTGGTTCGATTCCCACATGAGCCAGTGAGCTACACCCGAGCTGAGCTGCTGCTGAGCTGCCAACAAGTGTCAGGGCGGCTCAGCTGGTGAGAGCACGTGCTCCTAACAAGGCTGGCGATTTGACTCCTGCATGGGATGGTGGGCTATGCCCACCTGCAACTAAGATTGAACATGGCACCTTGAGCTGAATGGCCTCAAGCTGCCGAAGGGCGGCTAGATAGCAACTGGACTTGGAGCTGAGCTAGCTGCGCCCTTCACAACTGAGACTGAAGGACAACAACTTGGCCTTTTCCCTTCCCCAGTTCCCCAGCACTGTTCCCCTTCCCCAATAAAATCTAAAAAAAAAAAAATGCTCCTTCCTTTGAGGCAGGAGGAAAGAGCTAGTATTTGACGCAAAGAGGAGAATGTGAATGCAGGAAATCAAAGTGGAGAGAAGAGGAGGGTATTTTCAGGTAGATAACCTCAATCTTCAGAAGATTCACCGATTCAGAACAATGGGAAAGTTTAGATTGTTTCTTGGGAATGTGGTGAAGAGCAAAAAAAAACAGCAAAAAAAAAAAAGGAATTTTGGTAGGGCCAAGTAGCTGTGACACTGTTAGAGTAAGAACAGAAAAAGACTAGATTTGAAGAGAAAGTAGAATGGTATAGAGGAAAGTGGACCTATTGGAGGTCAAAGCAGCAGAGAATAACAGCATCAATCATAGCATTGAGCACTTACTATATGTTAGGTATTCAGTGCTTTACATGTGTTAACTCATTTAATCTCTGCAAAAACTTTTAATGTGAGCAAATACATGAAAATATAAATTAAGGTCACAGGAGTGGGTATAGAAAATTGGGAGAGTATTTGAAAATCAACCTGTAATATTCACTTGAAAGCATGGACCCTTTAAAGTAAAACAAACAAAAATCACAATAGAAAAAGGTCAAGAAACATAAAATACCAAAATTAAAATGTCAATTCATATTCATATCTGAGAAAACTGAGCTGGTCTGTTAACAGGTCTGCTGATCGCAGACAAAACTGAAAAGTGGGCTTCCCACGTCTGCCCTGTTTCCCTATTTCTATCTCCTATTCTACCCTCTTTACCCAAAGTGGATTTGGGGCAAATACAGTATACCCACTTTTAGGAAAGTACAATATAAAAATACAGTGGATATTATTCAGGTCCAAAGGGAGACTCTACCTTGATAGTCTATATTTTACTAATTAAACCCTTAAACTGAACGGTTGAATCTCTGGAATTATAGGTATTAACAAAAAGATGAGAGTTTTAGTGCATGAGCCTTTAAATAATAGATACTATTCATGGTCAGTCTGCATTATTACATATAAAATGTTATTTTTAAATTAAGTTTGACCTGTAACAAGGTCCCCAATAATCCCATCTCCTGGTTTCAAACCCTTGAATGTGGGCTGGACCTAGTGACTTACTTATAATAAAAAGAATCACAGAAGTGATATCACTTTAAGATTAGGTTATAAAAAGGCTGGCTTCCATCTTGCACTCTCTCACTTGTTCATTCTGTGGGAAGCTAGCTGCATGTTATGAGCAGCCCTATGGAGGCCATGTGACAAGGACGTGAGGGAGGCCTCTGGCCTATAGCTAGAGAACTGCATCCAGCCAACAAGCACATGAACAGCTCAGAAGCAGATCAACCTCAATCAAGCATATAGGTGAGACCAATCCCGGCTGACATGTTGCCTGCAACCTTTGGAGAGATTTGTGGTATCCAAACACAGCAAAGAAATGTAACTATTAACTAATTTTGTTCTAAAATTTCATGTAAAGGAAATAATACAATATGTACTCTTTCATGTCTTCTTTCACTCAGCATGTTTCTGAGATTCAGCTATGTTATTTAATTGCTGAGTGGTATTTCATTGTATGATTATAATACAACTCATCCATTCAACTATTAATAGCATTTGGGTTATTTCCAATTTTTACCTGTTATGAGTGAAAGTGCTATAAACATTTATATGTGTCCTTTTTGGATGTATGTTTTTATTTCTTTTGAGTGAATATCTAGGAGTAGAATTGCTGGTCATGTGGTTAAGTGTACATTTAATTTTGCAGGAAATACAAAGTTATTTTCCATAGTGGTTATACCATTTTACATTCCCACCAGCTATATGAAGAGTTCTGCTTGCCTCACATCCTCACCAACACTTGATAGTCGGTCTTTTAACATGTGAGCAATTTTAGTGTTTCATTGTAGTTTTAAATTACATTTACCTGATGAGTAATGATGTTGAGCATCTTTTAATGTTCTTATTGGCTATTCATGTTATATTGGAGAAAAATCTGACCTAACATTTTGCTATTTTTTATTGGATTGTCTTATTACTAAGTTGTAAGAGTACTTTACACATTCTCGATACAAGATCCTTATCGGCTGTATGATTTATAGTTTTTTCCATTCTGTGGGTTGTCTTTTCACTTGCTGATGGTGTCCTTTGAAGTGCAATTTAAAAAAAAATTTGATTATGTCCAATTTATTTTTCATTAGAAATATGTATTAGAAATATTTGTTCCCAGTCAATGGCTTGCATTTTCATTTTCCTAACAGTGTCTTTTGAAGAACAGAAGTTTTACATTTTAATTAAATCCAGTTATCGTTCTTTTATGATTAAGTTTTTTATTAAAAAACTTTGCAGCCAGTTTTAATTTTCCTGCTTTGTTCTAATTCTAAACACATCAAAGTAAGTTGAAATTTTCAACCAAAAATGAAAAAGCAAGCAAGAAAAAGACATTATTTCTAGGGAAGGAAATCTGGATTTTCATTAGCAAGAGTATATATGTATGCTGTTAAGTCAATGGAATATTACCTTCAAGTTGCTGAGGGAAAGTATTTGGAAACTCAGAATTCTATAATGTCCAATCATCATTTAAGATTGAGAACAAACTAAAGACATTTTCAGACAAACAGGACCTAAAGTTTACTGCCCAAAGTCCTTCAGTAATTACTAAAGACATACTTAATCAGGAAAAAAAGTGAACATAAATGGAGTAGGATGCAAGAATCAACAGTGAGCAAAGAAAGAGAGAAAACAGCTGAGTCAAAATACATGACGTGTATTGTAAAATATGAACCTTCTTAAAATAACGGACCCACACACACACATAAATGTTGTATGACATTTTATACATTTATTCATTGCTGAGGGATACATATTAAGGTTTTCGACTTTTCTGGTAGTGAAACTACATAAAGCTACATCCTGATATATTTAGGAGATTTGGGTAAGTTTTAGTCTTTCCTTTATAAGACATGACTTTTCCAACTGTATCTATTCTTGTCTCAACACAAGGCATTCCGTTTTATCTGATAAGAACAAGCTCTTGAAGAAAAGTGTTTTCACTGAATTTTTAAAGTTTCCATAATAAACTGTTCATCATTCAATAGAAGCATATTTACAAACTAAGCAAACAAGAGCCTCTGGGCAGAATGCCCACGCACACCTCCTCCTCTGATCCAACCCTAAGGCTAATTTCTTCAGAGGAGCTTTCTAAAAATAAATAATTCCCAGCCCCACTTCCTTCCACATTCCCCAATTGCTTTCACCACTGCTATCAGATGTTGCCTTTTATTGCTCTGGTTCATGTACAGATCTCTCTCATCCCCCAAATATACTATGTGTTCCTTGTAGATACGGTTTGCTTTTTCATTTCTGTATCTATCTGCCAGTACCTTGCACAGTGCCTGTTATATGGTAGGCATGCGCTAAATCTGTTGAATGAGTGCATGAACAGCTTTATGGCTGGGATATTTAAAAATTATTCATAATTTACTTTCAAATCCTACTCAGTTTGAGTTTAAATAGTTCAAAATCAATATAATGTTTCAGGATGCTTCCAACTATGAAACAACTCAATTAAAAATATGTAACTCACACTTCAATTAAATTCATAAGTAAAATTAAAACTTATATTAACAATGCTTTATATTTTGCCTGTATTTTATAGTACACCACTACAGATACATAAAAGTAGAATTACCTGGTAGCGAAAAGTTATATATTTTTCAAAAATAAAACTGACATATCCCATTACCAACTTTACAGAATGACAGGTATAAGTTCTAGTACATTAGGAAGTTAACTTTTAAAAAATAGGTTCGGAATCATAAGTTGATATATTTGAGTATAAAAACAGAAATGGTTTAAATCTCATTAAACAACTTCAAATTTCTCTAAATGTACAACTGGCAGAAAGATGAACTGTCAGTTAATATATAATAAATTTATTACATTCCTAAATATTGAAAATGCTAGGTGGAAAAATTAGAAAGAAAATCTTTTCTGAAAAGATAGGTAATTAAATGAGACTTAGATCTTTTATCGCTGAAAATCAAATTCTATTTCAGTTACTACTTGGCTCTGGTAGGGAAAAATCTGAGCCATTCATTCAAAATAGAATAACTTTATTTTCCATTTCACACACAGTTGTCTAAGTGTGATCGTCGAGAATGGGAAAATTATTAGCTATTATTTGGGATTCAAGTTCTAGCACGGGTCATCCCTAAATGAATACTTTATTAGCACACTGGTACAAGTGATCATCAAAATTTACACCATGTGAACATACTTTATAAGTCATCTTGGTCCTTTTGGTGACTACAGTTTCTTGGATGGGAATTCAAGATAGACTTATCACAGAACAAACTCCAAGGTACAGTACATTGTGTTAAAGTAAGGCTCCAGTTTATTTTGGAAATATAATAATAAACTGCAGTTTCTTTTCATATTTACTGAAAAAACCTATTATATCAATTCTTTCTACCTTGGGTCACTGGATACACATCTCCCCAGAAAACATATCTGTTATAGACACTATTGATAAGTTAGCTTTAAGCAATTATTTGGTAGTATCACTGTTTTTTATTTTATGGCTTGTTAAACATTAAGTCCTTAAATATTTGAAAAGTACTTACTATTTTCTGATAGTTCACACACAGACACACAAGAGTGAACATGAGCTTGGAAAATTATAAAGCCTTAAAAAATCAGGTTTTTTTTTTTTTTTAAAAAGGAACAGAAATTAAAGGTATAGAAGTGAAACAAACAAAAGACTCATTTAAAAATTCCATACATGATCCCCTTCACAAAATGAATCTATAACCTTGCTTCTTTGTCAGGAGTGGTGGTGGTGGTGATGGGGCAGAGGGGGGAACGGCACAAAAAATCTCCTCTGAAGTTTATTAGCAATATAAGTGTCTTTTTCCGTTTTCAAAACAACCCTTCAAACAATACAGTTTTATAAGTCCAGGGTTTGAAAAACAATAAATGTGATATTAAACTTCCCTCTTAAAATATCTTGACCAACTCACTGTATAGGCCTAAATTAAAATGAGCAATTGTTTCAAGACTTATGTTACATGAAAATAGTTGTAATTTCCAAATAAAAATGTTAACTATATACATTCAATAACATTACATAAATTAATATAAAGATTATATAAAGCTCAAAGTCTAAACAAATTTTAGCAGGTAAATCAGCTGATTTCACATTATATTCTAATGATCAAATTATTCAACCACTAAACCACAAAACCTTACTGATAGGAAAAGTGTATTTATTTTGAATATGGAACCACAGTACTTTCCTTTAAGTTGAAAAAAGTTGGGCAAATTAGTTTTACTATTAGTTTATATATATAGATTAGTTTTATAAACCATATATGAAGATACATGGCTTAAAATTATTGATTGAGATACAAGAGATTTTTGAAGAGTTTTTCAAATTTATAGAATTAAGATCTATGGTATATATCAAAGGTCACAGCTTATTTATTTGCTATTTTCTGGTTCTTAAACTACTGAGGAATTATACCAAATGGTCTATAGTCTCTCCTAGCCCTAAAGTTTTTATTACATAGTTTTGCTTTGAAATAATTAAGTCCATATCTCAAATAAAGTTATCTAAATAGACGTCGGCCCTAAAGGAATGGCTCTTTTCACCACTCTTCTGGCTGTTAGTCCCTCGCAGTCAGTTATCAGTGGGGAACAAATATCACATATTGAACAACTGATTCTTAATCCCTGTGCCTCCATCCTGTGTCCAGAGCCCACAGTGCCCAGCACACGGTGCTCAGTACTTACTGGATATTCTTGAATGACTAGCAAAATATTAAAGATGGATCAAGACTTAAAAAGAATCTGGAGGTGATAACAGTTGCTTTTATAAAACCCCCAAATAATAATTCAAAGCTTCTAGTCTCCTTTTTAGATTTATTTTGTTTTGTCTTTGTAAAGAATAGCAAGAGAAAATATGGCACAAGAATACAAGGTTAAATTATTATAGGTAAACTGCAAGCAAGGTTATTAAGTTAGTAAGCAAACTTAAATAAAAATTTGTTTCTATTCATGTACTGAAGAAATGAATTTTATTTACACTGTTAGTAGATCCCAGCTACTCCAGTTACTCTGAGATACAATCATCTTTTCAACTACAGCAAAAATATATTCCAGTATTTCAGTTTTAACAATAGTAATTAAATTGCTTAGTTATACTATAGAGTAAGAAGCAATTAATGCATTTTTTGGAAATAAAAAATATGTATATACATTACCCTGATGCCTAGGCCAAAATATATCTGACAACAAATTTTCTTGATTTCTATCAGTCATAAAAATAAAGGAAAAATATATTGCAAGTATTTTCTTTATAGACAATTTCAATTAGAAAACAATAGTTTAATGAAAACAATACAGTGGTTCATGTGAGTGAACTGATATGGAGGCAAGAGAAGTATTCAAAATTTGACAGATAAAATATTGTGAAATATAACTAAAGAATATCTGCCTCAATGACAATGCAGTAATTAGATTTTTACACATCTCAATTTTATCTTATATTCAAGGAAAATACAAGTCAGTAGGTTATGGTCCTAAGTCATAGTTAAGAACCCCTTCTTTTAGCTTGTAAGATGTAGCCTTTTGATTTGATAATTCCTCTGCTTTTAACAATGACCGAATATCTCAGTAGCCACAGTGGCACCCACTCGTGTGCTTGAATGTCAGGGATGCTTTCCTGAAGAGCTTCTTGGAAACTTGCTTCAGAAAGCAGTTCTTAAAACAAACAAACGACAACAAATAAAATGTGTTAAATTTGAAAACAACAGCACTTTACTATTTAGGAAAGCATTTAAATATAACAAAAGAAACATCTCAAAACAGAAAATAAAATATGCTGATCCTTAATGCGTGCTGTGAAACTGAACCAGAATATCAGCAAGACCCAGGTAGTTTTTCAGAAAGCATCTATACGTGTACCCCAGCCTATTTAATGCATAACTTCTGGTTATTTGTATTTTTTGAAGATTTCCAAGCGATTCTAATGTACTGCTGGGAAAATACATGAAAGTACAAAGAAGAAAAAAAATGTTACCCATCTATCTATCTATGTATGTATCTATCTATCTCTCAATATCTTAAAAACTAGAAATCATACTGTAGTTACAGCCTAATTTACTTTTTCCCACTTATATTATGAATACTTCCCATAAAATTAAATATTCTGTGAAAGCATTTTTAATAATTCTCCCAATATTACATCATATAGATACCATAATTCATACATTTCTTTATTGTTGGCAAAAACATTTAGGTTTTTCCTAATATTTTCCTAATACAAATAATGCTATGATGAACATTCTTGAAATGCATGCCTGGCTATGGAATGACAAGGTAAAAGTAAAAGTACATTCTGAAGACTTGATACACAGTATAGTGCCAGTTGCCTTCCAGAAAGGCTGTCCTTTATGCTTCACCAGCAGTTGTCAATCTTACCATGTCCTCGGGAGCACCAGCAATTATTTAAAGCACCTTTGCCAATAGTTATCTTTTAATTTGCATCTATTTGATGAAATCACTTTTCTCCAATTCCACATTCATGTCCAAGCCCTCTACTACTGCCCTGATATACCACTTCCCTCCTTACTTCTTCTCCAGCCACACTAGCCTCTTAGCTGTATTCTGAAATCCTCCAAGCACTTTCACACCTTGGGGGCTTTGCATCAGCTGCTCTCTCTTCCCTGAACCCTCTTCTTCTAGATACCCACATGACTCTCTCCCTTCTCGAAGGTCTCTGATTAATGTCACCTTAGCAGGGAGGCCTCCTACACCACCCTTTATAAAACAACAATCCCTAACCTGGGCACATTTCCCCCTCAGCCAACTTTTCTCCATAGCATATACCACCATTTATCGCATTTAACATTTATATTATTTGTCTCCTCCCATTAGAATATAAATTCCATGAGGGTTGGGATTTGTCTGACTTGGTATTTAGAAACAATGACTGGCATATAGTAGGTGCCTGTTGAATAAATCAATCAATATGGAAAGATTCCACCAGGGTCAGAACCAACTATACAACAGCTAGAGATTAAGTGACCATCTATACAGTGTGATTTGGGAGCACTAAAGGACCCATTTGCCCCGAATGAACTGCTGTGATATTTAAACAGCATCAAGAGTAAACTCTCAGTAAATGTTAGCTATTATCATGTGCCAGACACTTTTCTGAGTACTTTACATGTATTAATTCATTGAATCCACATGTTAATTCTGTGAGATAGATAATACTATCCCCCTTTACAGGGGTTAAACTGAGGCAGAGAGGTTAGATAACTTGCTACAGCTAGTAAATGGTAGTTTTTGTATATAGAATGCAAAGGTCTCTTTGAAAAAGTAACATTAACATGGATTTGTTTAACAGAAGAGAACCTTGAGGGAATGAGGCATAACACAGATTAGATTTAATGGGAGTTGGGGGAGGGGAAAAGCAAATAAAAAGGGGAAAGTTCTAAATCAGGATCACCAACTTCACAATTTTATCCTGACTGTTGCCACAACTTCTAGGACAAAGAGTAATGGAAAATAAACACTTTCTGAGGAGTAAGGGTAGTTTTAGAATAGAGGTAGGCCTGTAGGGGACTTATAAACAAAATTCTATTTTAGATGAAAAGGAGAGTTAAATATTTTACAACTTGATTGTCTAAAAAAAAAAAATGGCACTATGGACAAAAAAGGGGTGCTGTAATATATCTAGCAAAAGTAACCGCACAGGGTGATCTGATCATAAATTCCTAACTAAGCAGGTCATTCCTAACTGGGAAGTCATGTCCCAGACACATAACTTCTCTAGTAAAAGGTTTATCTTTTCCTTAAGCATTCCCTGTCCACTGTTTCTGTGCAGCCAGGTTAACACATTTTTAAATGCTTTTTTTTTTCAGACCCCTCGGAAGCCTAACCACCTTCAAGAGAGCATATGATCTTGTCAACTATCCGATAATCCAAGCTCTGCCTTGTTTTATCTCATCTTCATGTGTTCTTCCTTACATTCCCTCCTTAACTCTGCATGTAAAAAAGAAACAGTTGATACCTTGCTTCCTGGCATTGTTGTCAGTTTGGCTCAAATAAACTCTTACAAAAATTCTCCATAGCTTTGGATGTCTCTTACATCAACAACACAAAATCAGAGAACTATGCTATTCATTAATGTAACTATAACTTAACTACATACTTTTAATTCAACTATGTTAACTCCTTTGAATCAGTAAACACAACAATCTTGTAAGAGAAGAATCACTTTATTTATAGTCCAAGTATATGAAGATTCATTAATGGTATATGCAGGATCAGCCTATAAATTTTAATTAAAGGGTTTAGAATTAAAATTTTAAAAATCCAAGTGTCAAATTATGTCAGTAAAACACAAAAACATACACAAAAGGATTAAATCTCTCCTCCTATACATATACCATATATTTTGCCATAACAATGATGCATTTGCACATAATCCACATGCCAACATTTAGATAACATGGAAATAAAATACTAGACACCTTACTCTTTTCCTATTTCTTTTCCTACTGGAAAAAAGAGAGAGTATTTTTCAAGTGGAACTAGAATGGGGTATAGGCTCGTCCATTAGCTGTTGGTAACAACTGCTATTCGTAATAGTTACTGTTGGAAGAGCCCCCTACCCAAAGTAAACAGAAAAATTGATATATCTGCCAACATATAGAAATTTAAAATTTAAATGGTTTATAGACTAAATCAGCAATAGCAATTCTTTGTTAGATTTTCACTAAAATAACTCTTAAAAAAATGAATCTAATTACTTGTGAAAGCTCTACTGGAAGAAGGAGGCAAAGGTTACTATCTCCTATTTTGGTATCATTTAATGGAAACTGATAAGTAAGTAAGGTTTTCAGACTGAAATACTATAATACTAATGTTTCAAATCATAGAGATAATACAGCATAGTGGGAAAAGGCACCAAATTCAGCCAGGAGTTAGGTCCAAGTTCAGACTTTGCCCTCTACCGGCTGGGTGACCTATACTAGTTTCTTAAACTCTGAGGCTCTATCTCTTCATCAATAAAATGCCTAATTTCAGTTGTGAGGATTGTAGATAATCTCTCTGAGGCACTTAGCATGATACCTGGCATTTGATGAACAATAACTATTAAAACTCCTCCTCCTTTTCCTAAAAAACAGTGAAAAATGACAATGGGGCAGACAGCTAATATAAATAGTATAAAGTCTTAAGAGGTTATCCATAAGCATCCTAGAAATAAACAGAATCAAACCACTAATATAATGCCATCTTTTTAGACATGGAAATAAAAGCTGCATGTTTTTTCTCCAGGAATCATCTATAAAATATAATTTCTCCCAATATTTATTAAATTAGAACTTCTATAAAAATGTCATGGAGATTTAAAATTTTCACAAGACAGTTCTCATTTTTAGCTATATCAAAATACTGTTTTATAGAGCCCATATATTTACTAAGTAAAAAGCCTCCTCCCCTCCATATGAAACAGTGAAAAAATGAGACTAGAGCAAGCATACTGCTAGTAAATAGTATGAAGTATAAAACAGTCTCATCCCAGCTTTCCTAGTTCTCTTGTAAAATGTTGACAAAACAATTATTCTACAGAAGGCAGACAAGCCATTCTCATTAATCAAATAATGTTTCTGATTAGCACCAAACTTTTATGTCTCGATAGTAATGATTAATAAAATACCTAATCACTTACCTATCCTACAATGCTTAAGTTTCAAATTAAATTTTATCTTCCTCTTTTTCCAGATATTTATCCTCTTTAATTAAGTGGCTCTTTGGTGCAATCTTTGCTGTACTAGACAAAATTATATATGA